GTTTGGTAATGTTGGGAAAGTAACCGGGAGATTTCACTTTGTTTCCTTTCCCATGTTTGTTTTGAGTAGGAATGGAAAACAAAGTTTGTATAATTTTCCAATTATATCCATATTAAATCAAATAAAAAAAAGAATGCATTTAGTGATACGTTGTAATTATAAATTGTTCATAGGGACAAAATAGTCATGAAAATTGTGCATTGAATGTTGGCTCATTTTCCCAAACTTTCCCATGAGGAGGGAAACCAAAACCCAAGTTAAGAGAAGGGCATCACTTTCCCCCCTACTTTCCCATGTGCAAGGCATCCATTTCCCATGCTGGACTTACCAAACATGGGAAAGGAATTGAATTCCCATTCCCAAGTCTCCTTTCCCATGAACCAAACGGGGGTCAACCATATACAGTACTTTCAAACTAGATTTCGGTCATGCACCCTAATCTCTGACTAAATTTATTAATAGATTATTATAAATAAACCCAATCCTAGACATGTATTTATAAAAAAAAACCCAAACACTATTTAAACATAGAAACACACCCAAAATCAACCCCAAAATCAACAATTGTATATTTTTTGGGTGTGTTTATAAATGGGTTTTGAGTGTGTGAGTGTAATGATGGGTTTTGGGTGTGTTTATAAAGTGTTTTGGGTGTTGGGTTTTTTTATAATTTCAGCCCCCATTTTGGGTGTTTTAGTGAAACCCCCATTTATTAATGAGATATGGAATATCATCAAAATTGGGTTGCATAAAGAATAGTTAGTCCATTTGGCATTACAAATTAAAACAATCAATTAAGTATACAAAAATTACAATGAGGCATAACTCCTTTTTTCATCCAAGTAGTAGAGTTGAACTACGTTATTTTTAGACATTTACACAGCAAATATTTATATAGAAACAAATGTAATCATTAATGTATATCAGAAATGGGATTGCAACAAATGGAATTTTAAAAAAAAAAGAGTACTGAAGTTGGCTTCCAACAGACTATTCAGTAATGCTGTTACTAGGAAATACACTAATTTGACACAAATTAAATGCAGGCAGTCTCATTTACATTAATAGGGAATAACTGCAGCTCAGTAATACTAAACATAATTCTTTTTTTCGGAAATGAAATACTTTCAATAAATACTGCGTATTGAGCACATCCAATTCTAAATGGATTGTAGGAAACAAAACTAACTTTCTGAAATAGTTTTCTAAATTCAAGATTGTTTCCAATAAACACTGAAACGAATTCACAAATTTTCAGTAAAAGAGAATAGTTTCATCACTTATTAAAGGCAAGTAATGAATAAGACATGAACTCTCTTTTCAAAAAAAATTAATAATAATAATAAGACATGCACCTACTTCATATGATCAATCATACACTTCTTAATAGAATCATAACATCTCTAAAAAAGCAAAAACGATGACAATATTGAAGCAACATCCACTCACTACCAGAATCCTGATCCAGATAAGGTTCTTCTACAGAAATGCTCAGTCTTGCTGATTTTATCATTTCATGGGCATGCAAACACCTTGAATCTACAGTACAGGTAAAAAAAGTATAGTAGGTATTTGTGTGTTCTAAGTATGGGTTCCTTCTGACCAAAAAAAAAAAAAAAAAAGTATGAGTTCCATCTGACTACCATATGTCGGAAACCCTATAAAACCATATTAGTCTATCATTCTATTCTTCCCTCTGTATCCAAAGTGCACACAGAGGTGAAATAACTCATTCTCAGCGTTGCTATGTTTACAGTTTTTAACCTTCAATAGATATAACTCAAAAATACCAGGATTAAGGAAGTCTAAACATTGAATAAGGGGCAAAAATGCAATACCATAGACTTATGCCTCCAACAAAAACAACTGTACTGAGTGCCATACACTTTTGTCCCGCAGCACCAAAACCAGCAGCAACTAGAGCATTCAAAGTAGCATCCATGCTTGCATCAGGCAGAACAACTGCATGATTTTTGGCCCCAACATTGGACTGAAGACAATAGTCAACCAGCCAATTTACATTGACTTCAACTACTGCATTGGTAAAAGTGCAACCACATTGCTCATAGTAAGAATATTAGGTTTGTTACGAAAGAAATGCTTGAAATTACCTGAATGCGTTTCCCTGTAGCCAATGCTCGTGAATATATGTAAGCACCAGCCTTTCAAAATTTTGAAGAGGAAATGATCAAACATGAAAAGTAAGCCCAAGTAAAAAAGGCAATAAAAAGAGCAAAATAAGACACGAGAATTTTGAGATCACAAAGCTAAAAAACCGTATGTTTCTACTATAACGTGTATAGCATCAAAATACTATTCCAAACAGGAAACAAAGAAAACAAAGAGTAACTAAAGCTGAGATAAACAAAACAAAGAATGAAACATTACAGTCAAAGGAATTATCATGTCAAAAAATATTCCTGTAGGGGTTGCAAGATGTCAAGTTAGGATACATAATCAAAAAGAACCTGCATGAAGGTGTACTGTGCATGGTATGTAATCTAAAGGACTTGCTTAAGATAAGTTTCTGGAATTTCACTAAACCTAAGTGATGTAGAACAGCCCGTAGGTATTAAATTAATCACTTAACAATCGAACAGAGAAGAATATAAGAGATTGAGGAGAAGAAATATAGATCAAAAAGACGAGGCAAAGGGCAGAAGCAGTAGAACAAAGAAGAATATCGGAGGTCGAGGAGAAGAAAATATAGATCGAAGGTATGAAATCAGAGAGTTCTAGGAAAAGGTTTACTCAACATTCAAATCTGAATTTTAAAGAACTACATGGGGGTATTTATAGCAAACTAAAACCTAGACATAATAGGATAAAAATCTCTTGCTTAAACAGAAATCATAACCCAAATAAAATAGGAAACTTAAAACTAGAAATCTGGAAATCTGGAAAAGTAGAAATCCTACTATAATTTGGAAAACTAGAGTATCTAGGAAACTAACAAATACATTAGGAAACTAATAAATTTAGGTCCTACGCGTCCTACATCATTCTCCTCCACCGAAAAGAACTCGACTCCGACGAGTAAAGAGCAATAAAAGCACAATCCTGAGTGTGAAGAGGCACGTTGCGTCCTTTAGTTCTACTAGATCAGCATCATATTTGCCACCTTGAAACCATCTGTTCCGTAAGCATGGAACATTATGCCTGTTAAGAACGTCAAATAGAGATCTCTGCCTAGACCATGAGCAACAGGATCGGCCAATGAACACAAGCGTGTGTGTGGGTGTGAGAGACCCTCAATCCAGTGTGTTCTTAAGTCATCGCCGTAGTGCCGCTGTTTAGGAAAAACACCTGGCTGGGCATGGTGGTCTATGTCAAAATCCAAGTGTTGGTGCACAAAGTTCTTGTCATGTTGTCGGGGAGGCAAGTTAGGGATGGGAACTGTGTCGTCAACCAGATGAGAACCCATCATATGTTGGGTATAGTTGGGCTGCAGCATAGAATCAAAAGAAAAGAAGGGCTCCAGTTGAGCAATGGGCATACCAATCGATAGTCCCTTGGAATGATTTGGCATACCTGGTTGCACGGCCTTCAGTTTGTGATCCACCAGTGGATTGGGAAAAAGGCCACCTTTTGGCAGCGGTGTAGACGAACTCGAGAGCACCACTGAGGTAGAAGAAGGCTCAGCTGAGGTGGATTGGGAAAAAGGCCACCTTCCAGGATGATGAACGATCCATGTTTTTAAAACATTGATCCATAGTGAAATAAAGCTCCTTATAGTACATCTCTATAAATTATTGGCTGTGACCTTAAAAGTTGGACACATATTACAATTCGAGCTTACCTTCATGTGGCTATAAATCCACCATGTTTAGCTACATCACCCCACTATAATTAAAGGGTCATTATTTTCTACCACCAGATCAAATGCAAACTTATAAACCAAATAGGAGAAGGCAAAAAGGACATATTAGTCACAGATGTTTAACACTTATGATACTTTTCATATAAACATAAGAAAACTGCAACTCGTAACAGTAGTTCAATTGAGGAATAACTTACTGCATTTGGTCCGACAAATGAGATAGCTTTAATATCATCATCATCAGAAATAGCATTGAGAATATCCTGCTCCGAATCAAAGTTTAAATAATGTCAAATTTTACAGCGCAATAAGGACACATTAATTGCTAAGGAATGTTGAATCATTAAAACAGAATAAGTTCAACTCCAGTTAAAAGTTAAAACTTCTGGATTAAGACAAGAAGAAAAGTGAATAAAGCAAATGACATAGACCAAACAGAAGTGGATTTGTTTGTCAGACATTCAATTGAAAAAAATAACATGATTTACTAAATAGTTACAGCATCAAACATTTGGTGCAATTTCAAATGGTTTAATGGACTCAACAAAAACTGATAAATGATTGTTAAAGGCTTACATCAGTGCCATGGACAATATTTAGCACACCATTAGGTAAACCAGCCTCAGTAGCTAATTCTGCAAGCATCACAGAAGCCCCTGAAAAACACAACAGAATACGTCACTTCTTTTTAAGCACAACCATATGCACCTGTAGTGAACCAATAAGTAGTTGTCAAAAAGTCCTAGTGTTTAAAGGGAGAAAAAGGCATAAGAGGCAACCCATAATCCCAATTGTTTTAATTTGCAATACTTTACTTAAAGTGAATAAAACAAAAAGAAGAAAAAATGAAGGAAAAAATATCAACAAATTGAGGGAGATACGAGGAGGAAGAATACCAAAGGCTACAACCTCCAAGGATCACCAACATGCAATAATCATCTACAGTACAGACCAAAGAAAGACGATCCCTCGAGGGAAAAAAAATACACCCAAAATAGACAATTAGGAGATACAAGAAGTAGCCAACCGTTGTCCTTTCCAAACTACCAACTAGACTGATCAGTCCAAGCGGATTAACCGATCTGACCAGAATAACTGAGAACCAGTAGGTTGGCCAGTTTTTATCATATCAGAACTGGCCAAAAATAATGAACCGGTTGGTTCAACAATGGACTGATAAACCTGATCATGGTACTGAGAACCAGTAGGTTGGCCAGTTTTTATCATATCAGAACTGGCCAAAAATAATGAACCGGTTGGTTCAACAATGGACTGATAAACCTGATCATGGTACTGGCTAGTTCATATGAAGTGTGTGTCTTTATGTTCAGTTGAACTTGAACCAGCCAATACATATAAAGCGTCATTATGCAACAAAAAGCATTGTTATGTATCCTGGATACTAATATAGAGGATATGTCATGGAGTTAAATAAAAATACATATGTATATATACTGAAAGGATACAAATTTTAATGATCGTCTCAAAAAGTGCAAAACTGTGGATATGGAGTCCACATCAAAACTACAAAACAATTCTACACACAAAATTAAATCACAACCAGACCAAAGCTAAACAACATGAAGGTATATTATATATAAAATATGTGCATATATAATGTATTCACAAGCTCTCCCATGTCATTGGGGTTTTAGGTTAATTCTTGAATTGGCTTCCGCTTGGAATTTCACTATGGGATGTAAAATTGGCTGAAGAGTATTGTTATAAGAATAATTACCCTCATGAGTTTTGAATATGTTCAGTAGGTTTTTAGGAAAAATCCATGTCCCTATTATCTCTAGTTTGAAAATTGACCCAAAATCCCTACCAGTATCATTTAAAACCCCAAAAAAAAAAAATACAAATTACAGATTAAGAAAGAAAAAAGAGTTAAATTTAATGCATTATAATTCTAAGGAGCAAAAGCTGTAAAATTCAAATCACATTACTAGGATGGTTTTGGCAATCACCTGGATCCTTCTCTGATGGCTTTAGAATAAATGTATTGCCACATGTGACTGCGATAGGGAACATCTGCATATAAAAGGTGCATCAGAAAATACTTTTTAAAATTAAATCAAACTTTTCTCTTTCTTTTATTTTTGCAACAAAAAGTCTTTCTTGCACTATGTAAGATCCTAACCTTTGCATGAACATGATTAAAATACAAAACTTAACAATAACAATTAGTTTAATGGAAAATTGGAAATAGCTCAAATAAGTTTCCAACTTATCACAGCAGGAACTGTTTGAGTGCATTTGCCCACACAGGTTTTTTGTTCAACATCTATGCAACATGCATCTGTGCTCTGTGTTCTGCAAGCTCATAATTGTTGCACCATAATGTGTAAGCTTTTTAATTTCTGCATGTTTGCATTCCTTGTACTCTTGTGTTTAAATACAAGTAACCAACACTGTAGGTCGAAAGTAAGGGAATATATATCCCAAAACAAAGGGTATGGCGTACCCTACAACATCAAATTGGGGCTGAACTGTGAGCATAAAAAGACTTTATAAAATTAATTGAGGGCTGAATCAATGGGAGGTTTGACATGATGGCATCAAGCATATCATGAAGTTAAAAGAAGTGTATTGAGTACCAGAGATCCAACTAAAGCATGCATGCAGTAGAATAAGAGAATTCTTTAGAAAAACGGAGCCATATTTTTACTCAATCTGTTGTGTAATCACCATCCTGACAACAATTCGTTGTCTCATTTAAAAGCTAATGAGAAAAAACAGCACTATTACTAATCACCTTATTAAGCATGTCCCTAGATCAAAACGATAGCCCAAAACTAACCAGAAAAGAAAAAACAAATTAAAGTTTAGCAAGCTTACCCATAAGGGAATCATGGCTGGAAAGTCAAAAGGGCAAATCCCAGCACAAACACCGAGTGGCTCTCTAATGCTATAGCTATCAACTCCATTGGTTACATTGGAAACAAATTCCCCCATCTGCAGCGTTGCCAGTCCACAAGCATGTTCCACCACCTCTGCAAAAGGATATTAAAAAACTTACAGGAGGTAACCATGACCAAGTAAGGGTTTTATAATTCAAACCACTGACCTAGCCCGCGTAAGACATCACCGTATGCATCCTTCAATGCTTTTCCATGTTCACTTGTAATGCACATAGCAAGCTTATCCTAGGACAAAAATTGTTATAGCTCCCATTAATAGAAACTTTTTTTAACCTAAATATTTCAACTTAAATTATGTAATCATAACATAAATTTTACAATGTCTCTCCGAATTAGCTCTTGGAACTTAAACATAATGCGCTGACGAGTAGTAATAGGAGTATTTCGCCACAATGGAAAAGCACGTTTTGCTGAAAACACTGCAGCTTTGAACTCCTCATTTGTTGTTAAAGGAACTTGTGAGACAACTTGCTGCGTTGCCTGCCAAATAAAAGACATAGTTACTGAAAAGTTAACTTCACATAGACAAAATGAATAGGCAGTGTTCGTGTTTTCGCACTTACAGGGTTTAGAACATCGATGGAGGTAAATGACTGTGAATCAACAAATCTGCCTCCTATGAGATTGGGAACTCTCTGTTTTACATCAAAGAAATTTCATGTGGAATCATATAGCACCCATTGACAAGATATATTTATACAGAGAGAGAGAGAGAGAGAGAGAGAGAGATAATAACGCCAATAATTCCTTATGCATTTATCACCATGTATCAGTCACAGAAGTAGTTGAAATAATAAGACTGTGAAACCAAAAGTTAACTATGTTGATTGGCCCTTTGTTGAATAACATCTAGCTTACCTGGGGGTTGCACTGCCTCCAAGATGGTTCCGTAACCGCAGAGTAATTGTTTCTTACAAAAGATTTCTGCGTGCTCAAAGACTTGAAGTTTCTAACTGCAACACAACATGCAATCACCCACTGTAAGGAAACCGAATCATTTCTTTTTGTTGAAAAGAAAATTTAAGAAAGGGAGAAGAGGAGATCTTATTTATCAATCATCCAAATCAACCAAATCAGCTCAATACATAATGAAAAGTCAATGAAAATTCCTACAGATTAGCCCCGAAAATATCTAAATCTGCTCAATCAAATCAACTAATTTAGATCATCAGTAGCCCTAAATTAGCTAAACCATATCAGCAAGTTAGCTCAATCATCTCTAAACATAAGACTGTTCATAGCCTTCATTGACACTCCCCTTCAAGCTGGACAATAGTTCTTGGTGGCTGAGTATATAGAAGCTCCAAAATTCTGAATAAATCTTGGCTAGTCGTACCAAAACTACAAAACAACCAAATCATATGCAACCCATATGATATCAACAACAAACTCATGAACCTACAACCCAAAGAGATATGCTAGATCTGATTGTAAACTATGAAGGACATCGGGGCTGATGGTTCACTAATAATAATTAGGTGGTTTTTCTTTTATTTTTCCTTTTACCTTTGAGGAAGTGAGAGCAGATTAAAGCTTAGCAGTCAATTAAAGACTCTTTATATACTTCCTCAAATAAAGGTCTCTACCTGCCACGTTTCCTTGTCGAAGCTTTGCTTTAACATTATAAACATGCTTCGGAGTTGATAAAAGATCCGGATTGCTTTGTCTTAATCTCTTTAGAATTTGGCGAGGTTTTAATCCAGATTCTGTCATCTCTTTAATTAGTAAAACTTCTCTCTCAGAGAAACGACGAGCAGAGGGATGTTCTGAAATGTCCTTCAAGGGTTCATGGTTGTGTGTTCCATTTTTTATGGTAAGTACCCACAAGCCATCATCCTTTTTACCTACAGCCTCAAAAGGACAATTTGTCAGCCGAGAACCTGTTTTTTTCCTGCGGCTATGTTCACTGGAGGACTCATCAATATGTTTCTGCCTGTTACGATAAACACCTCCTCTGTCACAGCCAAGGATAACTACTCTATCCCTCTTAGACTGCTTGATAGTTACAACATATCCCTGTGATACAGCGAAGTCCCCAACATGTTGAATGAGTTCGTCACGATCCACGAAAGTTCCAGATGGAGGTGGAAGCATCTGCAGTGGATCATCTAACTCTGTGCATATCTGAAGGTCCATCTTTAATAACTAGAAGACAAAACCTGCATCGAAACATCCTTATCATCATCACTCATGTATCATATTATCCCCAAATCCAATGTTTCTTGCTTCCTCTTTTTTTCCTATAAGAAACAAAATTTATTACTATCAAAATTCAGTGTCCCATATCCATTGCGATATGGCTCCTTCATAAAAAACAGAGAGGCTTTCTTTTTAAAAGTAAATTCGGATTTTGAATTTCCATACTGACCATCCATGCCCCTCTAATGTCAGATTGTCATAAAAGTAATGTGAGATGCATAACTACAGAAAAAGTAAAAGGATATTCACCTCATACAATAGCCTGAATATTCCCCTCAAACATTTCATTTCCTGCAAGAAAAAAGCAAAAAAGAAAGAAAGAAAGAAAGCAAGAACACAGCGTCAAATTACTCAGGTTCTACTTTTCAATTAGCTCATTCCCAGACTGTTTATGACTAGCTACACTTGATTCAAAGGTATTAAACGAATCTACTTCAACCAATTATAAAGGTTGATCTAATGTAATAAACAAAGGATGCTATATTAGCTCTCGCACTTCAATCACAATTTACCATTTAGAAATTATGTTCTTTTAGGGGAAACTGAAAAGTAAATTACTGATACAGACGTATATTTACATTGAAGGTGAACAAGGAGTCCACATAAACAAAAACAACCAAATAAAATCAACTAAGAACTCAATATCCGGAGACGTCCTGAATTTTAGTTATATGTATAGAAACATCTTGCTCTTTTATTTAAGGGAAGGAGTGACTCTATTAAGTAAGCCCAAAAAGTACAAATGAAAATTGAAACATCCATCAGTAGGCTGTCCACTGATGAATGTTCCATTTTTACATTTATGTGGACAAGAAGCACACAAATTTACAGAGACAACATAACAAAAAGAAATATCATCTAAAGCCCCTACTAATGTGATTGACCTTCCTACTAAGAAATCTTTCTTCTTTCTTTTCACCAGTGATTTCAGGTTTTAAGCTTCCACCTTTCCGCATATAATGATTGCTAATACTAACAACACATCTGAAATTTATAAGATTTACTTGATTTAATCTCAAATTAGAAAATCAATTTTTTTTTATCAATGAGAGAGGGGGAAACTGAAGCTTGTAGCTCTTCCAACATTGTGAAGAGAAAACCCACTAGACCAAGAACTAGTTGTTAGAACATCAATTTTAAGATATCAAATAATTTACTTGCAGCTTATATTACACAGCATTTAAATTTTTATCATTTAATCTTTACAGGACTATTTCTACTTGCAGTTTCCTAGTTATGCATTTCCATTGTCAAACTGATCTATTGTACCAAAAATGCATTTAGCCACACCTCATACCAGATGTGGCACACACTAAACGCTTCAACAGCCCTGAGCAGAGTTCCTTCAATTTTTTTATTTTTATTTTTTAATAGAAACGAAATGTATTGAAAGAAACGAAAAGGAACACACAAGTGGATAAGGCATCCACAAGCCAAACGAACAACAACAGAAAAAACAAGGGAAATTGGCATAAATACCACCTGAACTTTTAATTTCTACTATTAACCAGTGTTTTCAAAGGCATGCCTTCGCGCGTGTCGGAGCGAGGCGGCAGGAAATCGCCCGAGGCGGTCGGCTGTTTCGAGAGTTGCACGTTTAGCGCGGGGAAGGCGTGAGGAGGCGTTGCAAGGCTTGGCCAGGCGGAGCGAGGCGGAGCAAGGCGCGCCAGAGCTGGACACTTCTGAACCGGAAGAAATTTTGCGAGTCTGCAAATTGGCTGCGACTCTGCGAGGAAGACGACTCGGGTGTTTTTTTTAATAGCTTTATTGTAATGAAACGACGTCGTTTCGATTGCGGTGTTTTAAAAAAAAAAATTAAATGAAACGACGTCGTTTCACTTGGAGTGTTTTGAAAAAAAAAAAGGGGCAAAGTTTCTGTTTTTTTTTTTTTTTTTTACCTTTATTGTAATTTTAGAATTAAAAAAGATAATGGGTAGTTGTGTTCCATAAAAGCAGGATCAATTATCTGATTTTTCTTTCCATTTCAATTATCCTCATTTAATTAATAATTTCAATTCTTAATGTTTGCATTAACCATTTTTTGGTATTTTGAATATTTCACCATTCTCTATCTTTTGCTTTATATATATAGATAGATACAAGGAGAACAAATTTTGAGTCGACATGACAAAACAACTCAAAACAAAACAAATTTTTTAATTATTTATAAACTTTGACAACTTTAGAAAATATTGAAAAACTTATAGACACTAACTTTAAAATTATAAGGACTAAAAATCCTAATTTTCAAAACTCCCCAAAAGAATTTTTTTTAAAGGTTTTTTTTAATCACAAATGGTTCCTGAGGTTTGCAAAATTATCGTCTTTCATCCTTAGGCTCAGTTTGCTCTCTCTCTCTCTCTCTCTCTCTCTCTCTCTCTCTCTGTGCACCGAAGAAGAATATTTATTCTTCTATAGCCATAATGCAATTACTCAATTCTTGTCGAAGGTTCATATACCAAACAACATATCTGTCTTTTGATTACTCAATTCTTCAACAACCTACAACAAATTTTGTTGGATTCAGGGGAGGGAAACAGTGGGAGAGGTAGAGAGAGGTATAAAATAAGGTTTATGCAGAGGGGAGGGAGCTACTAGGTAGTGGGGGAGAACTGGTGTTGAAAGATGCATGAATAAAAAATATTTATATTTATAACTCTATACTTTTAGAAATTCTAAATTTTTTAGTTATAAAAGAAATTGACCGAAATGTCATTAAACTTAACAGAAAGCTTAACAGAGTTAGACGTAGGTGGTACATTGCAACACTATAAACTGCAGGTGGTTAATAGTATAAATTAAAAGTTCATGTGGTAATTTCGCACATGCCTAAAAGTTCATTTGGTATTTATGCAAATTTCCCAAAAAAAACAAAGACACCAGCCAAACTACACAGAGACTGCTACACCAGAAAGACCCAAAGAAAAAATGATGCAAAAAAACACTTTACATCACAGCAGCAGCCATATCCCTCAGTATAGTGGAGTAAGAATAGTCTTTGAAATCTGAAGTGACAGAAGCCCATAGAGCTGCCCATAATTTAACTCTATCCCATAATTCACCAATACCCACTCCCTCATACTCATCAAAAATCCTCATGTTATGCTCCAGCCAAATTTTCCAAAATACAAGCTGCACCAAGCAACCCCATAAGGTTGAAGCACACTTTCCCCTGCCCCAAATGACAAAATGGGAACAGAGAAGATCAAAACAACCTTTTGGAATAACCCAAACAGTCTTAACCTCCCTCAACAAGGTCCACCAAAGACTTAAAGGGCAATGTAAAAAAAGGTGATCCACATTTTTCTCACTCATTTTGCATAGAACACACTAGTGTGGAGACAAATACATGTACGGTTTTCGTCTTTGGACAAGATCATATGTGTTTACTTTCCCAAAGGCCACCAACCAGATGAGAACTTTAACCTTAGGAGGAGATTTGGCCTTCCAAATTAGAGAATAAGGAAGAAAGCCCTCTGCCATCCCATTGTTGAGAAGAAAAGAACAAAAAGATTTGCACGAAAAAAAACCCTAAACCCTCTAGCTCCAACCATCTCCTATCCAATCTAATTCCGTCAAGGATGTCCAGCATCTTGATCACCTCAGCTAACTCCCTCTCATTCATATTCCTCCTAAAGCCAAAGTCCCAATTATACGGGAACACCTGAATGTCCACGAAACGAGAAATGCATAAAAAGTGCTTCGAAGACAGCACAAACAATCTGGGAAAAAGATCCTTCAAAACCCCTTCCCTCGCCCAATTGTCCTCCCAAAATCTCACCATGTCCCCATTTCCACCTCAAACCTACAACATTGTAAAAATGTGTGGTAACTAGAAGAAATATCCTTCCAAGGATTACGAAAGGAGCCCGTAGTAGCAGGATTGGCAACCTACCCATTCCTAGCAACCCCGTATTTACTACTAATCACCAACTGCCACAAGGAATTAGATTCCAAAGGAAAACGCCACAATCATTCAGCACGCAAAACTTCATTCTTTTCCTTCAGAGAACCCACTCCAAGTTCGCCTTCACTCCTAAATTTGGCCACCAAATCCCATCTAACAAAATGGTCCTTAGCAACCCCGTACCTTCAATTAGGAGAAGCTAAACACACTAGAGTGCTCTAGTTCACACAGTGGACGGCGTAAAAAAGAATTCTTATTCACACCTTCAACTGGCTAGTTATTCCCTCATGTCGATATGGTTTTCTTAAAGTTCAGCTTTGTAGCATTTCATACTTTCCATAATGCAGCCACATATTCTAGATAAATTACAACAGTTACGATGAAAATGTTGCAATATATTTTGATATCCACAACATGCACTTTTTCCATGGATACTCACATTTTGCACTTAGGACCTTAGACAACTTGAAACTTTACTCCTTTGCAAGACACCGAGAATTTAGAACACCCAAAACTATATTGAACATAGGCATTCATCAATTCATCTTTCACAAATTTTGTTATATTTTTCAACCTCCAAACAATTCTATGGATTACTGTAAACTGAACTAGAAGAATATCCATAATCAAACAAGAATTACTTCCCTCTTTCAAGACAAGGAACGCATAAACGATGCCTTTTGTACACCCAAATTAAAGTCAAATGCATCAAACCCTTATTGAATACTTATCAAGAACAAAAGAAAATCAAAAAGCTTGAAGATTAAAAAAAATCAAATAAAAGAGTTAGTGTAAAGAAGAATTAAGGGGGGTGTATTCAATTAGGATTTTAAAAGACTATTTTGGGATAAATAAGTCTTGTGGTATTCAATTAAGACTTTTAAATAATCTAAACAAGTCTTGGGGTATTCAATCAAGACTAATAGGATTTTTTAAAGAGGGTGTCCAAATCTAGTGGTATTCAATCAAGACTTTAAACAAGTAACAAAAAGTCTTTTGGTATTCAAAAACTTGCTAATTTCGAAGGATTTTTTTTAAATAGGGAATTAGTGTGACTTTTTAGTGGGAGGTATAAATACCAAACCCTATAAAAAAAATCGCACCCTAACCCATCAGACTTTTCACGTGAGATTTTTTTTGTCTGCTAGAGAAGACGAACAGCTCTTCGGGAAGATAAACAGCTCTTCAACAAGGTATTGCTTCCTTCTCGTGCTATGTCTTCTTGTGTTTATTGTCTGTATATTTGTTATATGCCTTTTTCGATTTATGGTCTGTGTCTATGGCACTTTGTGGGTTTGTTGATTGTTTATATGTGGCGTATGGAGTGGTTTATTGACTCTTCTTAACCATGCTGATATGTGGTTTGTTGACTCTGTGCCTATGGCCCTTCGAGGAAGAACAAGATTTGTTGGGAGGAATGTCTATTGTTTATATGTGGTTTGTTGACTCTTCGTAACCATGCTGATTGTTCATATGTGGGTTTGAGATTGACTAGAGAGCTACTTCCATTAACCATGCTGATAGGAAGTGTACAGAAGCAAAATTATCTACCAACCAACAAAAAATAAATAAAATAAAAGAGTCCAGGTTTGGTGTCGTCTTGAAGCAAAATTATTATTGTTGTTGGGTTTTGAATTGTATGGAGAGAGATAGAGAGAACTGACTGGGTCTTGAAGCATGGATTTTGCATTATTATTGTTGTTGGGTTTCATTAAGGAGATTTCCTTTTTCATTCAGCATTATTATTGTCTGTGGTAAATCAGTTTTCCAGTACTCCCTTTCTTTCTTGGTATCCAACTAATATTTACCAAAGTTAGAAAGAAAATAGAAAATAGAAAACATGAGTGAAATTCTTTTCTTTTCTTTTCTTGTTTGGTATGATATGTATTCTTGTGAAATAACTAATAAATTTCTTACATATGTTGTAGTAGTAATTTAATGGGGGATTCACAACAAGGAAATAACAAAGGAAAGGGCAAAGAGAAAGAGAACTATGAATCTTGGACCATGGACGATATCAATGAGTTGTTGCACCTCTTGGTGGATGCTATCAATAGTGGATTGCGTGATGCTAATGGGTCACTTAGCAAGCAAAATGTAGAAAGAGTGATACTTCCTCGTCTTAATGCGAAAATTAGGTTCCCAAAAACTTATAATAATTACTTGAGTCGAATGAAGTGGTTTAAGAAGCAATATAACAAGATGTCTACGCTTATGCGTAACAACTCTGGCTTTGGGTGGGACCCAATTGCAAAGACGTTCACTGCTAGTGATGAAGCATGGAAAGATTACTTGAAGGTGAGCTTAGTTCATAATCTTTTAAATATATTTATAGCTTACTAGTTTAGTACAAAATATTAACAATGAATAATTTGTTCTTTGCTAGTCCCACCCAAGTTACAGTAAACTTTGAGAAAAGAGTGTTGTTGATTATGAGGATTTGAAGATTGTCGTTTGGGGTGGAACTGCTACTGGGAATGGCTCCATTGCATTGGGCGCTGATGATACCGATGCAACAACTTATGGGGAAGAAAATAGAGATTTCGGGATGGAAGACTTTTCATATGATCCTAACAATGATGCGTTCATAGCACCAAATCACTATGAACCATCCTACCAGCCTCCATCACCCTACCAATGTTGTTGAACTATATTTTTGTTTGTGCTATTTTGCTTCTACTTTGGCTGAACTATTTCGTACTTTGGTTAAACTATTTGGGTGCTTTGGTTGAACTATTTGGGTTATAATTTGGTTGAACCATTGTTATTGTAATTTGGTTGAACTATTGTTATTGTAATTTGGTTAAACTATTTTGACAGCTTTTACTTTTTTATTTGG